CGGTGAAGATGGGGACAAAACAGCACCCAAGGACTCGGTTATGAACTAGTCAAGCATATCCTTAGGCCGTACCACTGGCTGTTGGAGACATGAATAAGGGCATGCAGCAAGAACAAAGGTGTTCACTTTCCATCTGCTATTTGGGGCCAGGCTGAAAACATTTGGCAGACCTCCAGGTGGGCCTGAGACATCCCGAAACATTTTATCTTTGGTAAGGGTCACTATTCTTTACCTTCAAAGTTGATGCATCCAGGGCTGGGTTTTCGTGGTCAACTAGACACAGAGCGATGTGTCTCAGACTACTCAAAGTTAGTAATGGCAGAGGGGAATTCATTAAAACACCTGAAGTCATGCCCAGCAAGCATGAGCCCTCTCTGAAGCCTCCTTCTTTCACTTAACTAATATTTTTAGAATAGCCATGTGCAAAGATGTTTTATATGTTATCTTAAAATTTCATTTGCGGGTAATAACAGATCAAAGCTAATTTCCTGGTTTGGATGGCTGTGCCGTGCTGATGTAGGCAAGGGAACTTGTAATTAGGAGATACTCACTTTAGTATTAAGGGGTAACGGAGCATCATGTCTGTAACCTAGTCTCAAATAGTTCAGAAATGTTAATAATTGGGGAATCTGGTCAAAGCATACAGGGGAGCTCTGTGTACTCTTTCTGAAACTTACATATAAATTTGAAATTACTTCAAAGCAAAAATATTTTAAATTGTAAAATAAATACCCTGTAATGTATTTGAATTTTTCAATATACTCCAACATATCATTTTATTTTATGTAAAAATAATATTTTAAATTACTTCCTCTTCCCCCAAAATAATTTCAGGAAAATTGGGAAAGAAGACATCTATCTTGTGTCTTTGTACACCACTCACATATTTGTATTCAGTCAAAGGTAGGAGTACACTGGTCTTGGTGGGGTTTTCCTTAAGTTGCTCTCTGTGGGTCTGAGTCTCTGACCAGTATTTCTCTTCAAGAACTGGGTGAGAAAGATAAGATAGTTATGGGGGGGCAAGGGCAGTAAGAAGGTCCTTCGCGTGCTTAAAAAAGAGAGAGAGAGAAAACAGACATAAAGCATTTAGAACAGTGACTGGAACATAGAAACCCCTCAGTAAATATTAGCTATGATCATTTTTATCACTGTTGTTTTTGTCACCGCTGGGAGGTCCAAATGCTGCACACAGGCCTGTAGTAAGTCAAAGACCATAAAACGCATGTGAGGGGAGCCCCCTGCCTCAGCTCTGGTTAGGCTGAAGATTACATGCTGTGTTTCCTGAGAACAGATCCTATAGCCAGGAACAAGGGAGACAGTCCACCTGCTGAGGCAAGATCATGGTGGGACTGGGCTCCCTGAGAAGGCCCCGAAGAGCTACACAGTAAAGAGGAAATGGACCTGGCAGGAGACAGGGTCAGCCACTGGGAACAGAGTGAGGCTTTTTAGAAGGAGTATGGCAATGAATTCCTTGTAATAGAACTCTAAGGCTCAGAGTTCAGAAACCAGGATCCAAGATATGTCATGGCCATGGGTCTTCAGAGCCAAGCACCCCCTCTTGGACGAGAATCTCTCTTGGAGAGATTCCCTGTTGGAAGCTTCTTAACCAACTGAGCCACCCAGGCGCCCTGTTATGTGAGACCAACCCAGCTCCCCCAGCCTTGGTGGTTAACTTCATCGCCAAGATCCTGGATCCCAGCAAAGAGATGAAGAAGGATATTCAGAAGAGCGGGGCACGGTAGGCTTGTTTTCCTCCAGAGCTGCTCAAGAGCAGGATGCTGCTGCCCTGAAGTCTCTTCACCCTTCTTGTTGGCTTTTGGGCTTTTCCAGCCTGAGCCCGCCTCTACCCAGTTTCTTAGACGTTCACTTGGTTTGCACTATTCTGTTCCTTTCTTCGCTCTCTGTCTCTCTCAGGGATATCATTATATGTACTCAGGACATCACTGGGGAGCTAAACAGTCACAATGTCGTCTCATTTTTGAATCAGCATTGCAGCAAGGTTGCACGGCGGGAGCGGGTCAAGGGCCAGGATGGCGGGGATCCCTGTCAGGAGTAAGTGCTCCTTCCTGTCACCTGTCCTGGCTCCAGGGGGTCCACCGCGGATGTGTCAAGCGGTTTGGCAGAAAGTTAGCTGAAAAGCTACGTGGAGCCCTGTCAGCAGCCACTTGCCTCCAGCAGCTAATGTTCTACCGTCATCGGGCTTGCCTCTGGGTGGATTCTATTCCAAGCCTTCTGCACCCCAGCTGGTCTCCACCTTGGTGCCTGCGGGCAGCAGCAGCTCCTCTCACACCCCGTCACAAGGAACTTATCAGAGCACGTCGCTTCCAGTTCTGTAGTCACCGCTGGACCTCGTACACAAGTTCTATGAACGGATCCTACCACTGCCCTCTGCTGAGGGACCGGGAACTGCTTCTGGACGATCTCACTCAGGACCCAAGCAAAGGATCAGAAAATGCACAGCCCCGTGTCCCCCTTAGCCACTCCTGGTCACTGGTAGTGGCCCCGGCCCCTCCTGCACCACCCCGCTCCTCCAGAACCCCCTTCTTCCTGAAGAGTCTGCCTCTTACCCACCAGGAGTCCATTCGCAGGGGGAAGCCTGATGACCCATACTGAGGGTGGCACTTGTAGGTCAAGGACTGCCCTCTATCCTCATGCTGCTGCTGTCCTTCCCACCGGTGACCCAGACAGACTTTTCTACCTACCCTTCCTCGGGTATCCGGAAAACACTGGTCTTTAGGGGATCATTGCGGATTCTCTGCTTTTCCTCTTCTGAGCTACCTTCAGGGTCTAACCGTGGAGCCTCTTACGTCCTAGTCTGGCTGCGAGCACTTGGATGTTTCTTCTTGTTTCATAGAGTCTTAGTGCCAGGGAGCATTTTAGAAGTTATGCAACTTTATGCATCCTTGTGTTAGAAATGACGAGGATTCTGAGAGGCAACACAGGCACTGAGTGTCCCCTCTGGGCTAGCGAAGGGGGAAGACCCGATTCCTGTCCGAGTTTTCCAACCAGCTGGGAAGACTGGACACACATGTGAGAATCAAATAACAAAACAAGGTAGCACACGATTAAGGACTCAAATGAGTGGTACCAGGAAGCAATGCTGAAGGACGTTAGGTTTAGGAGGGATTAGCCTAGGGTGGACTTGACCGGCAGTGTTCACACATGTGATCAAGCTGAGCTCTGAAAAATGACTAACATTTGAGGGAGGGCTCTCAGGGAAGAAAAACAAAACAAAACAGAAGTACAGTTGAAAAGAGCAAAACATGCCCAAGAGACAAAAGGGAGACCAATCTGTTAGAATAGAATTTGGTGACCAGGTGACTCTTAGCCAATAAGGTAACTTCAATAAACGGGAAAGCAGTGTGGCAGAAAGGAACAACATAACTTTGGAGCCAGACCTACCTCATTTTCAATCTCACTTACTAAATCTGTGACCTTAACCTCGCCAAGCCTCAGTTTTCTTTTCTGTAAAATGGGGGTAATAACATGGACCACATAATTGCTTTGTAGATAATGTTATATATAAAGCACAATGCCTTGGCACACAGTAAACACTCTTTAAAAGATTTATTTATTTAAGAGAGACAGAGAGTGTGCATACACTCATGAGTGGGGGGGGGCAGAGGGAGAGAGAGAGAGAGAATCTCAAGCAGACTTCCCACTGAGCGCAGAGCCTGACACAGGGCTCATCCCGGGACCCCAAGATCATGACCTGAGCTGAAATCAAGAGTCGGATGCTTAACCGACTTCTTTGGGAGGGTGCCAGCTAGTGCTTACAGAAAAAAATATTTGATACACAAGGCCAATATCAAGTCCAGGAGTTCTGATGTTCCCAGTAGGGCAAATTAAATTAAAAACTTCTCAGGTTTTCTCATCTGTATCTCATATCTCATAAGCTTCTTGTATATTTTATTTCAGTTAGCTGTATATTAGTTGTCTTAAATTAGTTGTCTTAAAAATAATGTGTAAATTTCAATATCCTATGTAGAAACAGAAGAAAGTATTTACACAGATAAAAAACAAAAACAAAAACAAACCCACCCAGGTGCCCCAGTAAATACTTCTTTATATGATAGCTAGAATTCTTTTTTTTTTTTAAAGATTTTATTTATTTATTTGAGAGAGAGAGACACAGCGCGAGAGGGAACACAAGCAGGGGGAGCAGGAGAGGGAGAAGCAGGCTTCCCGCGGAGCAGGGAGCCCGATGCGGGGCTCCATCCCAGGACCCTGGGATCAGGACGCTGGGATCAGGACGCTGGGATCAGGATCCGAGCCGAAGGCAGACGCTTAACGACTGAGCCACCCAGGCGCCCCGATAGCTAGAATTCTTAACAAATTACCTATCACCGTGCCAAGCAGACCTTCACGGAATGGTGGTTAGTGGTATCCCTTGGCACGGCCTGTGCTGACTGGACCCATAAGTAGGGCCGTATTTAGTACCACCATACCATGCTAGACACCTTAACACTTCATCACATTGAATATATTTAATATACATATTCCTCATTCAGTATCATTCTTGCAGAAATGTATCTGAAATGATATTTAATGATTTACTTCTGAAATTGACTACAGTACTTTGCAATTGGTACCACTCCTTCTGCAACCGTAGTACTTGAGAATTCCTATAAAATGAGAAAATCTCACCTAAGATTGCTTTGCAATGTAGTAAATTTTCATGAGTGCCAAATTTCAAAATAAATGAAGTCAACTTTGTTACTGTGGTAACAGGTAAGTACATATTTTACAGTTGATTTGAAGTTGACTTTTCCTTTATCGGAGCCTATATTGTTTTCTTCCCAGTCTCTGGTAGCATAGGCCCTTGAAAACTTCCCAAACCCTAGACATTGAGCTTCTAGTGCTTAATGGATAACAGGGCCCTGAGACTGTGGCAGTTGGGAAGAGTTATGACGAATGACTAGGATCAAACACATAATCGAAAGAACCCCTTTCCCAGGCCTGCCTGAGTGGGGTTGGCCAGCTGCAGGCTCAGCACTTACCTGAGGGAAAGCATGTTTGCAACTTAATTGGATTCAGGGCTTGCAAAGTCTGTGGTCAATCATCTTGGTCAGCACGAATGTTCATGCCAGCCCTTGGCTCCCGCCGCCATCCCCACCGTCACTCCAAAGCCTGGAGGCTTGGGTCTGCAACTGTTAATGAATAATCCCTTGGTGATCCTCCCAACCCCATGGGAGAGGTTCAGCTGAGGGCCTGCAAAAGAGAAATGACTTCCTGGATAAATATATATA